GCAGAGGATTTGCTATCCAACTGAACTTTAAAATTGCAGAAAACGAAAAAAAATTGGGCGTGGACAGTTGGTCCCAAACTCGAGTGACATGATGAAGAAAAGTGGTCCGTCCGACAACAAAAAAATGCCTGAAACGACTGATGACCATTGTCAAACAGCTAACAAACTTCGATAACGAGGAGAGGCGTAAAAAAGGGGAAAAAAAGAAAGAGAAAAAATGTACAGGCCACGAAAAAAAGAACGACACGCAGACGAGTTAGTGAGGCGGGAGATGCGGGGTGAGTGTTGTATCAAGTTCGAAAAAGAGACGGCACGAGACAGACTGGCAGATAGACACGAATACAGGCGTATCGACCTGTGGGACACTTTTTTGTGCTGTTGTAACGCGTGAGAACACGTGTGGGCCTCTGAGGAATACAGAGGAAATGGGTGAGGGGGAGAAATATGTGACAGAGATTCACAAACAAAAATAGGATCCATCATTGGTAGCGGAAATGGGTGGGGGGGGGGGCGGATATAAATGGACTATTGCTGATGAAGCTTTGATTTTTTGTTCCTCGAACTCGTCAACTATAATATCATTAATTCTTTTTACATGTTTTGAGAGCACACAAGTGCTTCCTCGAGTATCGGAAAGCATTAGTAGAGACACTAGTGTCACCACCTCTGGAAATTAATCTTTTACGATGTTTTTTACGAAGTTTTACAGGCTAAATTGAGTAACGAATGTCAGCTGGGAAAGAATGACGGGATCTACAATTCGGAGACTGGCATTTTTCATACAAAAAGGCTATATAGAAGGTATGCTCGACCCCGATTTCAGTCCATCGTGAATTCTATTATTACGCACCCTTATACTGCCAATTTTTTATTCATGCAGCTAAACCCCACTCTCCAACAGCGGTGGTTCAAGGCGGTGAGTGAATAAAGTTGAGTGAGTCGAATGTCCTCAAATTGGGACAGTGCCATTTCAATTTTGTTTACATTACAGAAATAAAAAGAAATGGTTTTATATTTATACAATTCTTTTTCATTTCAATTCAATTCAGTTTTATCTTTTCAATAGTTTCAAAAACGTAACATTATTCCAAACGTAACATGATAAATTAATAAATAAATATATCGATATATCTATGCTTATTGTATTATTTATATAATTACAATTACATCAGAATTATGAATGATTCTAACTTTGTGAGGGAGGGATGAGAGGATATAGATTAGTAAATATCTCGAGAAACAATGCTATTATCGAAATCATTCAGCAATTCACAAAATGAATCAATTACGTTCAATCGACCATAACTTCACTTATTAACGGTTTATAATTCTCGCGGAATAAAGGAGTTTGCAGATAACATGTCTAAGAAGTTTTCGGCAGACTTGCTCCCCTCAGAGATATTTACAAAATATTATCTCGTTTCACTCCTTCCCCACGAATTGACAATCAATCAATAATCTCTTTCACTTCTATAATTTTTGCAAATTTACAGCTAATTTTATTCATCATTATTATTGCTCTTCAGTACAACCTTATGGAAAAAATTGAAAATTGATGTTAAGGTTTGTGCATCGATTCGTTAGAAGGGAACGCAGATGAAGGTACAGGTTCCCTCATTCCTCGGTGTCTGAGAGCTTTACTTCCAGGGAATAGGTTACGGGTCGTTTGTCCGCTCACTCCGATACTACGGATTTTCACGCTCCTTTCACGCAAATATATCTATACATTTTATCTCCTTCTTTATTTTTTTCGAGGGGGGTGGGGTTAAAAAGTTAACTTTGCCATTGCTGGATGAAGAATTTTAATCGACCAATCACTTTCACGCTTTTCCATTTGTTACATTTCCCTTATTTTTATTTATACTTTTTTTTTCAAGCGTCAATGATCGGGGCGATGGAGCAAATAAGAGTAATTAATTTTTGGAAAATTTATTACATCGTTTACTTCCAGATATCTCGATGCAATTAATCATTTCGTCAAGTTCTCATCAGTTTTTTGGGGAAAATTGATTTGATGCCAACAAATTCGTTCGGTTTTATTTGCACATGCAAATTAAGAGGGAGTTTTTCATTTTCGTAGGAAAATTAAGACTGCATGGTCATCTGCGGAAGACATACGTTTCACTCTGCATTATTTCAAAATTGCGTATACAGTTATTTCTGTGCTAATGAGCTCTACTGTTTCACAAATTTTTATTGTTTAAATCGTAATTAATGTTATAATCGCATATGGCTCGCTCTCCAAAGGTTTTTCCTAGTTATTTTTGGTTTGTTAAACGCCTTATTTTGTTCTGCAAAGAACAACTTCCATTTCCCATTTCTTTACCCGCATTAATGATTAAATTCGTTATGGTAACGTAATATTACACTGATTGGCACGTAGAATTATTCGATAATCCTCTTTTCATTTTTTATTTCACATTTTGTTGAAGTGTTCAGATGACACTTAACGGAAGAATGAATGTACACAAGATTTTTCTTATATTAGTAACTCATGAAATTGATTGAGGGAAAGAATAATTTTTTCTATGGAAACCTTCTTCCATTATTGTTCTGGAATGCTCACTTTTTTTTCGAATGCTCACTTCTTGTGATGGCCCAATAGATCTTTGTGAATTTTTAATATCTTCCGAAGCAACGATACGAATCTAATGAATTCCATTTCATTTCAACGCACAAAGAATGCACTTTATTGAGTTGATTGTACTCTAGAAATCGATTACAGAGAGCATTTGAGAACTATCTTGAAAAGGAAAAGCTTTAGAGAAATTCATTAGTACCTGTTTTTGTGGAGAAGTTTATCAGCTTTGAAAACTAAATTCCTGGCATTTCCCTGTGAACTTACTAGTTCCAGTGATAGGGTTGAACAGTCTAAGTGCGGACTCCCCTCGCCACCAATTGACGGAACACTTGAACACTTTGTCAGATTTTTGGAATATTTAGGTATCTATCGAATCGATTTTTTTAAATCAAGTCGATATTTCTATCCATGACATGGAAATATATAATGCTTGGTCTATTTGTTGCTTCCCACTCAATAACGAAAATACCCCCTGCCAACTTCTATATTCAGCCATTTTTTGATAGATGGATAGTTAGATGTGATAGTGTGACCGCTAATAATGTGCCGATCGGAGTTACTTGGGTTAATAATCAGCAAATGTCGTAAGTTCAGACTAAGATTGATGCAAAAAGCTTCATTTTTTCATATTTTTGCATTCAGTTTATTCATACTTCTACAAATATATGCCGGAGTGGTTCAGTCAAAAGTTTATAAATAACTGATAAGTTAAAGACATAATGACATTTATGTTTCTATTCCTCGTTAAATTGTACTGAGAAATTCATATATGAAGAAGCTTCAGGTATGTGTTCATGCGATCGACATTACTAATTTTTATGTTTGTTCACTAGTAAGAGTTCCTAAGCATAACAAAATTTGTATCACAATTCCAATTTTCAATTATAATCTGAACTTGTTGACATTTTTCTGCAAAAATATTCTCATTACGTCGCGTTCCTAACTTCTCACCGTCTCACAAAGTTCTAATGTTCCATGATTGGTCGCATGAGGTTCCATATTTGGAAAAAGTGTTCCGTAATAGGTGTGCATTCTTTTTTTTCTAAAACCTACTGAATTTGGAATCGACCAATTTTTAAAATATTTTTTCAAGTATATAGTTTATTATTAAGTTCATTATTAAACCATTGTCTGACTCGCCGAAGAGCTTTGAATTTTCCATAATTAGACTGTTCTTCTTATTCGCAAAATAATCTGTAGAATTTTCTGACTTTTTCTTCTTATAAACGAAGTCCAGCATTATTCTGCTTATCAGTACAAAAATACTGATTCTCCGCAACTAATCTTATCCAGAAAATCGATTCCCTCAGTAAAAAATTTCCAGTACAAAGTTTCTTTCCCCCAATGAAGTGTTGAAGAAAAAATCGTAAAGATATTGTTCCCCCACAAGACAATTAATTCATCATAATGAGCAATGAGCTGACTAAACAATGACTCTCCTATTTTCATCAAGTCACCTTTGAATTTCCACCACACGAAGAGGAAACAAGGGATGTTCACAGAATAACCGTAGAATCTTCAAAGTGTATGTGTGTGTGTGTGTGTGTGTGTGTGTGTGTGTGTGTGTGTGTGTGTGTGTGTGTG